CCTTCCATCAACCCCACACTCATTGTCTCTCTTCATTCTCTGCCCTGTCCATTCTCAAGCCATTACCTCTGCTGCTTGCCCCCTGCACCATCCAGTCCAAAACCTGGTGCTCACCTATAATGTAGAGAGGCTTCCATGCTGGGACAGTAGCTACCCACGTACAGCTGAGCTCCCCATAGGCAAGTGCCCAGAGTCTGATGTGATGTGTGATTGAGTGTGTGTCTGCAAGCGAGCTGGTTTGAACTGCTACTCACCGGTCAGCTTTGTAGAAGCCAGACTGGCATTATTATTGCATGACAGAGCTGCTGGTCCCCAAGGTACATATGTATTCATTTAGCCGGCTGTCAATTACACCAGGACAAAATACTGTTTTCTATAAAGCCGAGAGGGACAAGCTCTGAAACCAAGGGACCGTCCTGATTTTCAGGGATATGAATACCCTTTCAGTGTGCAAAACAGACTGTGCATTCATACAGTCTGGGCGATGGCCCTAGGGGATCAGTGTCCAGGGGTTGGCGTTATATTTTTCTTTTTTTGTGGTGGGAGGCAGGCCCGGTGGTGATATAATTCTCAGGCACGGCAGATGGGTTCAAAGTAAATAACAATGGGCCACATGGCAAGCTGCTCTCTGCAGCTTTCTCCACAAAGGAGGAACCGAGATGGCTTCTTTCAAGCCCTGACAATGGTTTCCATGTGCTTTTGTGCTGTGTAAAATTAGGATTTTCATAGCCAGAACCGAAGTGTGATTAAACTGAAATGCATCTATGATACCAAGAGGCCCCAGCTCTTGACAGCACATAAAAGTTTACCATAATATGAGGACAGAATCTGCAATGCACTGCCTCCCAGCCAGAGAGCCCATCAAGGTCCGTGTGCCGAGGTGTCAGTGTGTGGAACAGCAGGCGTTTCATTACAGCCTGTCCACTCAGAGCCTGGCTTCTTGATATTGCTGTCACTCACATGGTGCAAATCTGGAACACTGCACTAAAACCAGTGGAATTAAACTGCCATAAGATCAGAATCAGACACTGGAAAACAGTATCTTAGCATTTGAAATGGATACCTCATAATGTTTAGAGATTTCATTAAACCATTCTGATTGCAGATGGCAGCTAGTAAATCCCAAAAGATCACATCCTTCTACCTGCACATACCCTTGGCTTATTTGTAGAAATTCCTACCTAACCCATGACATTGAAACAAGCCCCTTCTTTGCCATCTACCACCCCCATGTAAGTCTTCTAAGACTTACTATCTTTTCATGGAGACAAATACTGCAGTAACTCCACCCCAAATACTCTATTCCAGGTGAAATGAGCACTTCTGAAGTGCATGGCTCATGCCCAAGAGAAAGCTCATAGTTGACCTTTTTCCTCAGAGACTGGTTTTTTACCTTTTGCCTACATGTAGGTGTGACAAATAAAATATAAAAGCTTAGAACAGGTTGGTCTGAGGGTCTGATTTAGTTAGGAGATGCATCCATGTTAGGCATATGATTTCTTTCAACAACCTGGTGCCAAATTATTTACATATGTCTTCCTCCTACAAATTTTCCCCTGGCCAGAAAGGATAACATAGTTAGGAAAATGCTCAGGGATACTCAATGAATACCAGTACACTATAGGATTTAAAAAATCTATAGCAGAAATCATTATGACAAGTGCTTCCTCCCTCAGACATGACTGCTGACAGAATGGCTGATGTGCTGCTGCTGGAGGAAAATTAGAAAATGTTCCTGTATGAAATGGAAAAAAACCTAACAAAACAAGGAATCCAATGGCCATGGTTTCCAGAAACGGGTGCAGAGTGTGAGGCTCCTAAATGCATATTAATCCTATGCAAATAATTAGCCTGGATTTCAAAAGCCCTGTGCACTGAGGTCAGTGAGAGCTGCTAAGTGCATAGCACTTTAAAAAATCAAGATATTCCGGCCCTGATTTTAGAAAGTATTCCTATTCATGAGGGCTTGGAAGCATATGCCTTCCTTTAGCCAAGTACTTAAATCCCCATTGATTTCATGTGCTTTAGATATGAAAAAAGCATGTGCTGAAGAAGTTCTTTTCCTAACTGGGGCCTTGTTAAAGTGTCCTTCAGGGAGTTTCTTGCTTTGGAAGTAGGTCTTCTTGGAAAGAAAATTTGGAGCAAAAAATGAAGACCATAGAACTACAGAAATAAAGACTTTCTGTCTCAAGGGTCTGGACACCCAATTCTAATTGAAATCAATGGAAACTGGGTATCCAAATCCCCTATGGTATGTCTACCCTGAAATCAGAGGTATGACTATAGCCCAAACAGTTTAATCCAGCATGCACAGGTAACAGTAGCAGTCCAGGAAGTGGCATGGACATCAGCGTAGACTGTACAAGCTCACCTGGGTGTGTACTTGAGTTACTAGCTCTCACTGTAGCTTGTGCTTCTGTGTGTTGACAGCCACTGTCATTCAAGGTATATAGATTAAAGTCCATCTCCCCACAGCACTGTAAATTAGCTTTGCAAATCTCATCCTCCATTTCCTGCCAGCTGGGCAACACAACCCAAGTTTAGAGCCAGCCTAAGGATTTGTGAATCTTGAAATGGAGATGAATCCTAATGCTTCTCTTAAACTCAGAAGGGAGAATATTTAGTAGGTGAGCTTATTCACTGAAGGACTTTGCTTAAAGGAAAACTGTGTAATCACTCCTGCTTGGTTACACAGCTAAACAGAGATGTAATTAATGGTGCTGGTGGACAAATGTAAGGAGACAAAAGCTTCCTTATGCTAAAAATAACCAGCAATTGAGTTGAAATGAAGAAGGGAAAGATCTTCTATCTGCTCCCCAAAAGCCCCCAGAGCCCACCAGTTCTGACCCTGGTGATCTGTGTGACTGCTTATTTAATCATCCTCAAAAACCAGCTCAGAAGCTATAATCAGCAGCTGATTCACCCTGTTGCAGAAAGAGGGTAAAATTACCCTGAAAGTACACTTAAAAAAAATCCAACTCCCTGTTCGTAAATGGACCACAAGGTCTGAAATTCTCCAGTCCTTTCCAAGCCTCACAGTCACACTGAAGTCCATGAGAGTTTTACTTGAACAAAGTGAAATTCACCTAACATATAACCCCTACTTAAGTGATTTATCTAAGGCTCAATGGATTCTTAATAAGACCTTACACAGGACGTCTATCTAAGGTGAATTTTATCCACCAGCAAGATTTATCCCATAAAGAAAAAAAGAACAAATGTATGGGGTCTTACAGCAACCTCTTTTTTTATAACAGATTTTCAGTCCCTGTAACTGCTACTCTAATACTCAGAAGAGCTGACCCAAAGCTCATACAAATCAATACCATTGATTCAATAGGCTTTGATTCAGGGCCTTCATCCTTTGATGTGTGTTCCACCTGCCTGGCTACAGTGGGATCACAGACATAACGGTACATGCTGTAACTAACACACACAATTGGAGATAAATGCGTGCTGTTGGCATTTGAAGAGAATCCATTTGAACAGAAAGTGCCAGGGAAATCATTTTGACCAAGCATTCCAAAGTGACTTCACCAAGAGTTCTTTGGGAGACGGCATTCATTTGGGTTTTCATTATCACTCTTTCCATTTTAATGGATTTAGGTTTCATTTTATAGGTAGCACTTTGTGCCCTGATCTGGACAACCTGAATTATGGTAGGATCAAAATAAGCAGCTCTTCCACATCCTTGATTTTCCCTGGAGTCTCTCAGACATTGATGAGCAGTCATACTTAGATAAGTGATTTTCATTAATTTGCTGCCTTATTTATCAGAATAATGGATATGGATCAAATTATTCTCCTATTTACACCAGTATAATTTTCTTGAGTTCAGTGAAGTTACTCCTGGTTAACACTAGCATAAATATAAGGATACTCAGCTGCTTTGCTCCTTAACCTAATACAGTTTTGATTTTAGTAGGGCATGCCAATTACCTCCATTCTACTATATATTTTCATTATATATTTTCTGTCTATCCAGTTATTCTTACAGCATCTTGAGTTGTGCTGGTTGTCTTTTTTATATATTGTATTATCTGCATCATTCAGTAGTTAGCAAAATTAACAAGGATATCTCAATATCCCATAAGACTTAATCCTTCTCTCTACTTTTCTTATTGACATGGAAACGATCCCTGCGGTATCCAGGCACCACATTGCAGCAGCCATTGTTTTCATAATGAGAAATGACAGTAGGATCTCTGAAACATAAGATTCCATAGTCAGACATGCTATCAGTGTCTTGTTATTCCTAATAAGATTATATGAATATGTATCATGGCCATATGGAGAGACAAAAGATTTTAAAGTGAATATATCACCTAAATAAGCCCTAACTAATAAACACCAGCCAATCACTGATGCCCATTTCTGAACATTTTAGTGCTGCATTAAATTCTATGAAGGTTGATTGGCTCAGAGAAAAACCACACAAACACCAATGGAGAAAAAGAAAATGTGGACTGCTCCATTATCTCATATTTTATAGGGGAATTCAATTGCTCCCTTCAGCTAAAGCAAATCAAATTAATAACAAAATAACCCTTGTGAGACCATACCTAAGAAAACAAAACGTGATTCAAGTGACTGCAGTTATATAATGCCATAACTTAACTTACAATGTAAGAGTCATTTCTTCATGCTTAGTGCAAGGGCAAGAGACACTTGATCATCAGATGCTTCTTTTACTGATAAAACCCATCCAAAGCTATCCCTATTTATTTCCTATAGCCTTTTCAGAAAAAATAGGCTTTCCCAAGCCTGCAGTTAGGAAGGAGCATTTTTTGATCTGCTTGTATCGAGCTGTTGAATTAAAACAAAAACTACCTACAAAGCAAACCCTTTTTACTGTTGTCGCATTGCACTGTACATTAGGTGTATTTTAAAGATAGCAAAAAGTAGACCTTGTTGCTCTCTAATGGGGGGGTGTGTGTGTGTGTGTGTGTGTGTGTGTGTGTGTGTGTGTCACTCTGTGTGGTGTTTTGCTTTGTTTTTACCTTTTCCGGAGCTGGGAACTGCAGGTGATTTACTTCCAAGGGTGTGATCAAAGGAACTGTCTGAAAACCATCCTCGCTGGAAGGTTGTTTGCTGTTCTTGTCACTCAAATTACTCCCCAGCTTCACCATTCTTAGACCTCACTCTCCAGACCTAAAACAAATCAAGACAATCAATGTTACAAAAGCAAGAGTGGGGGAGGGCAGAAAGGAAAGATGGGTGGTAGAAAAGAGCCTTATTCTCCTCCATTCAATTCTGTGTATCAGTCATTTCTCATTTGGGCTATGGCGTCTAAAGCACCATCACTTTGCAGGACATTAAGCAAATAAAATAATATAAAATAAAATATCAGCAAGTGCTCAATGACAGCGCAAAAGAAACCCCTCAATCTTCAACACACCAAATATCACTGCAAATCAGGAACACATTTGCAAAAAAAAACCTTTCTGAAAAGGGCCAAATGCATCCCCTACTGTAAATCTACCAACAGCAGGGGACTTGCACCAGGGCTGGATTTGGCCACACTGTTATTTTTCAGCATGAGGCATGGGTTTTAACCCTTTGGTCCCCGGGGCTCCAAAAATCCTCCTGAGTGAGCAACATAAAGACAGCAAAGGCAAGAAGTAGACTATTAAAAATAAAGGGGCAAGGTGCAGCCTTGGACCTACTATTATTCAGGGTGCTGAATGCCAGACAGTGACTTCTGACATCTTATGGGCTGGGGGGTGGGTTTGAAGGGGGGGTTAAGTTATTAAAATAAAACAGGACCCTGAGAAAGCTGCTCTGATTAACAGTATCACCAGTTCCCCCACCCCCATACATACACCCCCCCCAAAGCTTGGTCTCAAGTCAGAAAGGGGGGGGGGGGCAGCAGCATACACACACATATGCACACACATAAACACACCAAAGCTGGAGCTCAAGTCTAAAAGGGGGCACAGGAGCATGCACACGCACACACACAGACACACACATATGCACGCACACATACCCTGCAGCCCTATTTATACATATAGGCACACATGAGCGCACACAAACACACACACACATGCACGTACACAACACCCCCCATACACGCTGCAGCCCAATTCACATGCATACAACACACACACACACTGCACCTCCCTCTTCAACCACTGTTCTGTTTCCC